TCCTCTGCTTGCACGTGGAGCCATTGGTTCAGAACAGCCTTCCTCACAGTCCGATGGATGAAGCTGGGAGCATCGTCATGCTGCCTGAGCAGGGTATTATTAACGACCTGAGCTCGGCTCAAGGAGCATAGTCGGTGGCCATCTTCACAGTACAGTAAATTTAGGGCCGCCTCGCTCTAAGCTTTTTTTTTTTTTTTTTTTTTTTGTTTTTTTGTATTTTTTCATATGACGCGACGATCCATCTTCTCTCGACATCGGGTTCAGCGTCTGAATAATGACTCGGATAGGTCCCATCTCTTTATAATTTGATACAGAGTGGACCCGCGAGCACTGGAGTTCTTTCAAACGGCGACCACCATTTATGTGTAATTTCCTCGAAACCCTCCGACCTTCGCACATTTGAATCTTTCCTATTTCTTTTTTTTTTTGCTCGCCTTCGGAGCGGTCACTTCATCCTATATTGTTGTCCGTTGAAATAGAATAATTATGACAATTGTGCTGAATTACGATCAGAACACTTCGTCTGAGGTGGAAATCGAACCCGCACCTCTCGCTGATAGGGCAGCTGTCCTATCGGTGCCCTCCCTGGTGGTGAGATCGATGAGTGGTGACCTTGTTCGCGCTTCTCTTATCATTATGTTACTACATGTCTATTATTCAGTGTTCCTCCATTTTTCTACTAAACAAAACTACCAAAGGCCCTAGCCTCACTGAAGCAACACCGCTACTGGAAGAGGATGCGAGGTCCACCAAATAGAGAGATCTCGCCATCTTCGCACATAAAAAAGCGTCACTAAGGAACGTAAACGCCAAGACTTGATCGATATCCCTTAAAGACCATCGAAGCGCCCACCGTTTGAGACCTTGATGTCGCATTTCGTTGACCATCGCGAGCTGTTCTCTCTCGGACTCTATAGCATACATTATACTCACGTTTCTCTATTTTCTGCCTTTAAAGGAATCTTGCGCGGAAAAATCATGATTCTATTTCAGCCATAAATCACTGGCTTGAGACTCATTATCCACGATAATAGTGAAAAGAACTGAAGTATTGCTTTCGTTTTGATTAGAAATTCGAAAACTCGAAAAGGCTGCTACGCGTTCGAATTGCCCACGGACGTCTTTCACGAATGCTGGCGACGGGGATGCTCAAACTTGGTTCTTGGAGTGCATTCACTAGAAGCTCTTTCTGGCCTTCTGCTTCGTTGCATTCACATCTTACACTTCTACTCCATCCTATTCCATCGATCGATTTGTCTCCACTCTCCGAAATCGCGCGCTTTAACCCGATTCTCTCATTGCGTCGCCTGGTACGTAGCCGGCCAAACGCCGTCTTCTTTCCATGCCTCGCCTGGCTCTGCCTCCTGGTCCTTCGATGGTCCATAACGTGTAGTTTTTGTACGTTTGTTTCTCTTCAGAAACCGAATCTTCATGCGTGAAACTTTGTGTGCTATTTCCAGTGATCACAACTGACATATTCATGTTAGGAAAGAGTGCAAGAATTTTCCGCGCAAGATTCCTTTAAACTAACTCCGCAGGGGAGAAGGGCTTCATGTCCAATTCCCTCCTTTTTTCGAATTTTCTTTACTTTTTTTCTTCACTTGCAGTCCTTCTCCCTCAAATTCATATTTTATTTGAGAGTATCAGTCAAATCCTGACTTTTCCTTCAACAAAACATAAGAGAGCAGTTTCAGGTAGAAATTTCTTTCCGGCGGTTCAATTTCTAAAGTTCCAAAGTACTTGTTTTGAATTTTTGTTATGTTCACCTCGTGAGGGGCGAGTGTTCCGCCGATCGATGCGAATGCACATCGTCAACATTATAGGTTTGCATGCTTTCTGTCATCAGTTTCTTCGCACCATCGTCTGTTTTATTTCATCCCCCTTTGTTGATAATCTTTCTACAAAATTTACCTTTTCACAGAAAACTCACGTAAATTTGACATTCTTTTTCTACTTACTCTGTTTTTTCTTTCGAATTTCTCGTTTTTTTCGTGGAGAAGTTTTTTACTGTGAAATTTTTGTAAACTTCTAATAACCTCTCAATGAGTTGGAGTTGATCATTTCTCCTTTTCTACTTCACTTCGAACGATGAAACTCCACAGTTAGAGCAATATAAAGGCAACTTCCGTGGCTTGTGATTAGATGTTCAGCACGGTACTTGAAGTCCTTAATATCCGATAGATTCAGAATTTTGTCACTCAGCAGGCGCGAATACGACTTTTCTTTTCAACAGTTGAGTTTCTCTTACTTTTTATTTTAGAGATTTTGGTGAAAAACCGTCCAGAGAATGTGTTCCTCTTCCAAAAGCCGTTTATTTCATGTGGTTGCTGTGTCTCTTCGACAAGTGGGTCCGTTTTTCCTTCATAGCAAGTTCAAATTTTATTTCCTGTTCAATGATGCGCGAATCAGAAGTAACCGCATGTATTAACACTTTAGTTTTGATACAGTCATAAAGGGCAGATAACCGCGGACTGTATTATAACTTCAGTCCGGTACCATTCGTACCTAGTAAGTAGCTGCCCTCACCCCCCACCCCCTAGACTGCCTTCACACCCCCTGGCTCACGGGGTCCCGTACATCGAGAAACCTGTGCGCCAGGGGGAGTGTAGGCAGTCTAGGGGGGTGGGGGGTGAGGGCAGCTACTTACTAGGTACGAATGGTACCGGACTGAAGTTATAATACAGTGCACCGCCGGTTACAATCAATAAACTTGGGATGGCCATGCACATGAGTCAGTACACCATCACAATTTATTTATTTATTTAGGGTGTATTTATTGCTTGAAAACATTGCATAAAACTAGGAATAGCATGATATTAAAATTCCAACAAGCTCATCCAAAGAATATAGTAAGGTGATATATCGCGATCCTGAGCGTTGCAGTCAGGCGCTAGCTATCTGCTCTACAGAAGAGAGGTATGATGGTTGGCAAGCCAAGTGGTCCGCAGTACTTTGAGAAATGGGGGAATGTAAAGGGGATTTCGCACTAGTTTTAAAACGGTTCTTCAATTGACAGCAAACAATTCGACAGTTCTTTGGACGGCGGGCGCCTGTCCGAAAGCCAGTCGTGCGGGAAGAAAAACTCCACGCCAATGGCCCCAAATGATTGGCAAGCAACTTAATATTAGCCCTTTGACAAGCATTTTTCATGTCAAAATTTCGTACAGCACCCACGTGGAAATTGGAATTGGATCAGCTAATCAAATCATGAAGTACATGGTTGACGAAAAGCGTCGACACATACTCCAGCTGCTCGTGCTCTGCTAGGTGAACTTTCCTGCTCCCTGAAGCTGCAATTATTACTCTTCTATTCACTCTCTTTGTGCAATTTCGACAACTCTCGTAGACCCATGGAAAACAGTTCTGATAAGTAGTTTTCTCTGATAGTATCATACGCAGAGTGCTCATATAAGAGTGAAGGCCCTGTTAACAATTTTTTCTCTCTCAGCTGACCACGGGCGGTGGTTGGACAATATGGTAGCCTGGCTATGGTACCAAATTAACTGTACTAGTGCTCCTAATTTCTTGATAAGATCTTATTTAGAAAGTTTCTAGTAGCGCCTCTCTCTGCTTTGTCGGTTGAAATTGTGTAGCCTATGTGAATAGGAGAGAGAAAAAGAGACATTTGGTGCATCTCGAACGCTTAACAGTCATGACAAAGATTTTTTGGAATCTTAACCGTTGCGCGGCCTACCACTGTAGAGAAGAACCATGAATGAAGACTCCATTGCAGCCACCCCGCAACTTCTGCCATCTTGGTTCTCAGGAAACGAATCGACCGAAATATCAATTACTAATTTGCTTGAGAAATGTGACCAGAACGCTGAAGCTTTCAAACACAATCATATGGAGAGTGGAAGCGCAGCAGAGACAAGAACTGTGAAGAGCTGATGCCAAAGGCCGAAAAGGCTATTATGTGGACATCATTTTTTCGCCAGCAAAATTTCACTGTTGTAGCGAAGTCATCAATCTACAAAGCAGGTGGTTCCATTGGCGTCCGGAAGAAGCCAGTGGAAAAGGAAGGAAGATTCGTTTCAAAAGCAGCCTAACCTTATCATGGTGAAGGAGGGGTCATGATTTCCGCTTGCTCACCACAACTGCCTGTTTAAGAAGGAGTTCAACTCGGTATTGCACCCTACATAGCTAAGGGGCATTCCGGTCTACTATCTGTTACTATGCTATCTACCCAATTTGAGCAGGAATGATGTTCTTTTCAATAGGACCCAGCTTCTGATAGGAGGGAAAAAATTTTCAGGAGCGGTGTCAAGCTACTCTTTCCAATTTCACACCCTCAAAAAGTCGCTCTCCTATCTCTTGATATAACGTGCTAAACGCTACATGTTTTGCTATTTTAAGAGGGACAGAGCCTGGCACTAACACTGCATTCACATGAGTAAGGCGCAGCCTTCTTCCTGCAAAGTTTCGAAAAGAACAGCCTAGGATGCCATGCGGGCCGCGGTAGCGTTGCGTTCGAAGCAATGGGAGCCACACTCACAGCAAGAAGGGGTATATCGAATGACTGTCATTCCATTCAATATGGAAATGTTACGAGCTAGAATTCACAATCCCTTGAAGACACATCCAATTTGAAAGAAGTTACAAGTTAAGAAATGAATTCCGGGTAATTTTTAGAAAGCTTGAATCCTGTAGTTTCTGATACGGTTCAGCTCAAATGTTAATGAGTTTAAGGGACATTCTGTAGACATGCACAATTGATATGCAAAGAGATATTATGAATAGTCTAGGGTGATTATCGTATCATTCAATATCACAGCCACTCTACAGTAACCATTAGCTATATCACAGCCCCTCTACAGTATTTCCTTAGCGTGTTTACCGGCAAAAGTCAACACATTTCTCTTGTAGCAGAATTTGTATTGAAAAATGAGAGCAATGTCTTCGCATCGCGTCGCTTTACTTCAAATAAACTGACTGCCGATCCTGGATCTCTCACGTTTTCCCTTCATTTCTGTATATCGAACCAATTTTTAGATGTCGCTATGTTTTTCTTTGTGTTGCAGATTGTGCATCAACGTTATGCATCAGGAAGATCTATTTTTGATTCGGAAAACGGTCTATACTCAGTACCAGTTCGCTTCAAGAATAGTCGAGGTGATGTCGTCGAGCTGGATGCAGTGTATCAGGTACTAGATGAAAACTTCATCTCCCAGAAATTCTTTTATCAACTCGTCATTTTCTCCCATGAAACGCACATTTCAGGACACGATGCCAGAAGGCGGAGAGAAAGCGATTCTTTTCGCTATACATGGCTCGCCTGGGTCTCATGCTGACTTCAAATATCTCGCACCAGAACTTAGGAAAAAAAACGGTGTTCGCATGGTGATGCCCAACTTTCCAGGTCAAGGGTATACGTCTGGTGGGTCTTTTCTCTTTACCCGTGTAAGAAGTTTGAGCCGTTCAGAAAAGAAGCGGTGACAAAAGTGCATAAAGCATGTGGCGTTGATCCAATCCCGTTCTTAGATGCGCCACGTGTTCTATTTCCATTCCAAATCATAAGCAATTTGAATGCGATTTGGCCATATACAATGACTTGCGGGATCAGCCGATGTACAAGTCAGTGTTTTTATCCTCCCAGACAAGTCTGGTACCAATTAACCGACCCCGGAGGGATGGAAGGCTTGGTTGGCCCGGGCGACTCACGACCCAGGATTTGATCCCCGGACCGCTCGCGTGGTAAGCGCGCCACTTGTCACTACACCACTTCCGCCCTGCAGCGGTAATATGTACTAGAGTGCAACTAAACTACTAAAGATACGGTAAAAGATGGCAGACTTTCAAAGGGATGCAATAAGACTGAGGCGCGCAGCTGGCTAAACTTTCGAGACTGTCGCTATGTCGGGTTCAGCCGTTGTGCCACCTCTGTACCCGATGGTTCCATTAAGAGGGACAAAGCGGCCTGTTCGGTCATTTTTTCGGTATGGGCCATCTAGTTGTTTCTTTTCGGAATGGTGGTCGCAGTTGTACGCGTATTCAGACTATACAAGGAGATGAGAAGACTATTCATAAATAGTTTCCTGCATGCTTTATTTATCGTCCAAACCAATCCCCGTTCTCTCTGACGTGTCGCTAGCATGACAGGCTATAGGACACCAGGATGTAGTAGGACGGTCTCCATGGCCTGCGCGGGATTCGATCCATGAGCCAGTCGCGCAGGGAAGAACTACTCATCACAGCGCTATCTCGTCCCAGAAGTTTCCTCTTGATTGCCAGTGATTCTATGTTTCTTATTCTTAAATAAGCTTACCTAGGTGATCGACGACTCACTTTTGAGAACGAGGAACGGAACGAATTTGCTCAAGCAGTCTTGGATAGCCTGGATAATTTGGAAACACCTCATCTTTACTTCATAGGCCATTCTCGAGGTGGAGAGAACGCTTTGCAAATGGCTACGTCACCAATGAATATTGTGGGACAATAAGAACAACGAGTACCACAGTTGCTAGCTATATGAAATTAAAATTGTTCAGAAGAACGTCCGTGGAGTGGTGATGCTCAACTCGGCCGGTCTCCGAATACATCGTGGTATTGAGCCGTTATATAAGATTGACATCACTCTTCGACTGCTGGATTTGCGAGTGTTGAATTTCCTTCTTCATCCGTTCCTGTACTTTGGTCAGTATTTTACTATAATACCATGGTTACGAAACAGTCACGAAACGAAGAAAAGACGTGTAATATTCTGAAAACTGAAGTTGTTGAGAGTTCCTTGTGGGGCATTTGGGTCAAATTTTTAAAGGGATGAACCTGAGCTGGAGAGACTGTCCAGACTTAAAAGACAGTTTCTGAAGCTATATAGTCACTGTAGGTCACCCTGATTTCTGGCTGGGCTGACAGGCGAAATCGAACTCCTGACATTCGGGAGCCCTCATTTTGGAATTTTTCTTTTTCCCGACAAGACGATGGAACGAAGTGTCTTCTACTCGACGCGAATCATAATAATATTAGGCGATCGCTCTTTTCAAAATCGGACTTCTTTCAATCCCTTGTACAAATTTCATTGTGTTCCTTCCACCCAGTCACTGATGGGCTAAGGCTAAGGTTTGGCTCAGTGAAGTCAGATGAAGTCGCTATTGCGTACTTCTGGTGATTGCATTTGGAGGTGTGTATTCATGTACGTAGCGGGTCATAAGTAGTTTTAGCCGAACGTTTTCGTATTTATTTTTCCCTCGATTGAGCAGCTTTAAAGATTGACTATACTGTATGCTTTCCTAGTTTGTCATCAATTTTAAAGAATTAGGATGTTTCAAATAGAAAAATTTCTCGGGATCCACGGGAAGTCCATTGATTTTTTTCTGGCAAAAAAAAAGCATGGAAAACCGTTTCGGCGAACAGTTTTGACCGCTACTGTGCATGTACGTATTTGTACGTCGCTATAATTTTGAATAAGAAACGAAAGCATGAAGTATCCTGAAGAACGAATTGTCAAAAACAACACAGCGAGGATACTCGTCTTTCCAAGATGAGAAACAATCTAAACTATTCAGCGTGTAGATAGTTGTATTGACGAGAAGTAATTGATCTCGTAAAGTTACAGTTTCTGGAGAATCCGGGTCTGTTACCAGTGAGATTTCTAAAACTGGAGTTTCTTGAGATCTATTGTAGTGTTAATCCAAATTATTTTCAGTCTACAACTATTTCCTTGGTCTTCGCGTACCGTCTGGTTCGGCTGCCGAGACCGCGCTTCGCTCAATGCGCACCTTCGCTTTCGAGCGTATGATGCCTTGTCTTGACGCTATCAATCGAAATAATCAGGTACTGTTTGGAAACTATTTTTAAGAAGCCTTCAGTGGACAAAAGCATCAATATCAACTATCGATAGCGTACGCTGGCTATTGGCTCCATGTCTGCTCAAAAGTATCATCATATTCAGCCACAGAAGGCTAGAGGGCAAACCGATTGAGCAAGAACATATGTAGAAGTTACTGCACACCACATTCTATGGATAAGAGACACATTTCATTTTATTCTCATTTTAATTGCATTGTCATCGGCCATCAAAATTCTTCCGACCGCTATTCTGCCTTAAATTCTTGAGAATGTATGATGGCCGTTTGAAAAATATGATGGTGACAACTGGGTATCTCTATTTCGAATCATTAGCATCGAATATTATCAGCCGCAAATTAACCTGAAATTCGACGCATGCTGGTTGCTTACAAACGCCAGTATAGTTCGGCATTCCGCCACGAGTATTGCGGTAAGATTCTGTAAAATGGGACTGCCTATGTAGTGGTCGGCTTAGCCATTTTCGAAAGCAACCTGCTAATTGTTTAGTAATGGGATCCAACGTTCCAGAGTCTATCCATTTCCACAGACCTACCGTTTCAAGCGCGTGGTGGTGTGTAGAGTTAAACTAATGATTATAAATGACAATATAATGTGAGGAAATCTGGGTTGCAATCCATCTTTCAGGTTAGATTTCTGCATGCGTACTCTGGAAGCGATTTTCTGATACAGCCTGATGTCAGCAAGGAATTCGCATCCAAGTTGGAGAGACGAATCGAATTGGTAGGCAACTTGTGAAGGAGTTTGAAGAGTATCATTGCCTTCAGTAATAATTCAGCACACTTTTTTCGAAGCAATTCCTAGAAAAGAACAAAAGCGATCGCGAGAAAATTGCGCAGTAACCACAGCTCGTGCACAAAAAATAGTTTACACAGTTCAGAACGTGCTACACATTGAGCTCCAAACGTTACTTGACCATCTGAATTATCCAGGATTAGATTTTTCAGTTCAATTAGCCTTTGCGATGAGTGTTCAATAACCTAAGTGGCGGTAAGGACGTAAGCAAACCAGCCCTTTTGGCGCTTCGGCTGGGACCGTATGCTGAATGTTGGGGAGGGGATGGAGTCCCCGACGGTGGACGGACCACTTCAACTCGGTCCTTAGAACCGCCACAATTTGGTGCTTACCTCAGAACTAAGCCTTAAAGAGAGGACGGGTCCGTCCCCTCTCCAAGGCTTAGT